CTCATTGATCATGGTAGCCATGATTCATCACTTAACCTCCCCGAATTTCAGAGTGGATTGTGGGCAAGATTCAGCAATTGTCTATCTGGTGGAAAATATGACTCACCAATTGGCCTTCATTTGTTGGAAGGCTTAGAATATTTTTATTCAGGAGGACTCTCCAGAGGGTCACGCTCTAGTTGGCAGTGGAGATGTAGATGCGGATCCAGTTTATGGGCCTTGGAACATTCGCACCATATGTAGGACATGGTGCCATGGAAAGTACAGCCTCAGAAGTATATGATATTTCAAAACAATACCGGCGCCTTCAAATCCACAAAGAGCCCAGCAGTAAAAATACAGCAAACACGATGGAGGCAGCTCCCACAGATTAGACTGACCACCAGTCTATGAGAAAAGGAACAAAAGAGAGCGCCTCCATAGTCACTATGATATTTCATCTATGGGTACCATCTCATCAAGAGTTCTCCAAAGCTATCACGTTGAATGAACTTTTAGTTCTTCCTGCCCATATAGTGTTCTAGTCCACCAAGACAGGACCCCAGGTCCTGTTCCCACTTATCATATAAGAGAGTTCCCCAGGAAGCTGATGAGATAAGATCCTTGTATATTGTCAAGATTAGTCCCACCAACTATGGATCTAAAAGGCACCAACTTTCGAAGGTGGTGAGCAAACAGGGTTATCCGTCCTGACCCTCATGAAAGAACCCAACAAATGCTTCATCGGTAAGAATCTTAATAGTTCTGAGTTTGGAGGTTTCCCGGTTTTCTGGAGGTACGGGATTGATTTAATACCATCTGGAATGAAGAAGTTATGAACAAATCTAAGTGCATGATGAGGTCAGAGGCTTCTGTATGGGCAGGGCCAAATAGAGGAGAATGTAGGATCCTTGTCAGCGGGGCAACAGAAGACTGCTGCAAAGCTAGTCTACATCTCACCTGCCCAAGGAGTGGCATCCTGGATGGAAGGGTGATGTTGTGGTGGAAGCCAAATCGGACCACAGCTGAACTTTAGAAGGTTGAACTGTTCTATACGTAGAATGTGGTCTGGTACTGTTGCAGGTAGAGCACTTTCGACAAGTCCATCATCTTTATGGCATTGATCCTACCAAACCACTAGATGGGCAGATGCCTCCGTGTGTCAAGCAAATGAGACAATTCTCTAAGAAGAGCCGGATCATTCACTCCATAGAGGGAAGCAGAGAAGATGAACTCCCAAGTACTTCAGCTTAGAGGACCATTGGAATCAGTCCTTAGTCTGAACTGTGGAAAGAGCGTGCGGATCCAATGGGACATTCAAAACTTCTGATTTTCATTTACGTGTAGACCAGAAACATCTGCAAATGCAGAGAGGCCCGAGAACAGGCCCGGCAGCAAAGACATATGTGGATCGGAAAGATGCAGCAGAATGTCATCTATGAAGAACATCAGTATATGATGAGTGTCTGCTACTTCAAATCCTTTATATCAGGGTGTGACCTGATTACAATAACGAGGGGGTCCTAAGGAAGGTTGAGGACCATAGGGGAAAGGGGGGGGGGGGACACCT